GTGAATGACTCAGGAGACCTGCACTCTCATCCTAATTTAGATACTCACCTAAAGTTGATGTAAAGTTGGACCAGCCTTGTCCCCTCTCTGTGGGTTCTTCTCTCCTATTTTGGGGCTATTTAGCTTGCAAGCTTTCTGGGAGTAGGAGTTGTTTTGTACTCTGTCATTGCACAGGCCTCTCTCAGAAGGGCACAGATTTTTCTGGGGCGTCTAAGCAGTATAAGAATACCAATAACTATTAGTAATAAGCCTGCTGGTTGTGATTCTCATTTTCTAATCCATAAAAAATGCTCATCGGAGTCTTGCATACCATCCAGGCTTAGAATTGTCACAGAAACCAGTGTCTCTCAGGCTTCCCCAATACATTGGAATCAGACATCTCATGGAGGAAAAAATATTCTTTCCTCCACAAGTGGAAGGTGATCATTTCCAGTCTCTGAGGATAGTGTGGATAGAATGAGATCAGATCAAATGTCTCTATCTTCCTCATTTTATTTCATTTTCAGCTTGTAATATGGCTCTGGGCTTTATATCCTCAGAAACCAAAGTCCTGGGTCAGGACTAACTGCACCGCCAATAAGTCATTTTCAATTCCTCTTTTCATGCATGACCCAGAGCTTCATCACTCTTCATAATTGTCCCCTCCCATGGAAAAACCCATGGGGAGGGCTAGAGAGTGAGTGAGAGAGACTTTAAAAATATGGTACGTTTTTAACTGCAGCATGACTGTTGCATCATCCCCTATCTAATGCGGTGTTGGCAGCCTTCTGGTTCTACAAAAGATCAGGGCTACTTGGTGAAACCATGAGTATTTCATCCAGACCTGCAGTATTGTTACTACCCGCTGCCCTGAGCTTCCCTGTCAGATGGCCGGTAGGCGGCACGGCTGTGAAGAGTTACGGTGGTAGCAGTGGCGGTGGTGGCATGGGATAGCGACGCTTGTCCCAGAGAAACAAAGTGCAATAGCTTTTTGCCAGACTCGAGCTGGCGGTGGAAAAACTGTGAAAGAAAAGACAGATGTTTCTGGGTTTTATTTTTATTGGTTATTTTTAAAATAAAAATAATCAAATACTTTCCAAATGAAGGCCTTTTCTGACTGAACATTTTTGACCAACTCTATCACAGAGGGTTGGTCTGTGTCCCAGGGGCCATACATAAGGTGGCTGCTTCCTTGTGGTAGCCCTGCTGAGGAGCATCTGTGAGCTCATAGGCAGTAGGAGCATGTGGGGGAGCTGCTATGCTACTCTGTGCATGTTTCCACTCCCTGCTTGTATGTTCAGGCATAAATGCACCCCTGACCTGTTGGATGGCCTCTCTGGTCCTATTTCTTACCTCAGACCAGTTTAACAATAGCATTATACCTGATTTATAGCAATTTTAGAGAGCGGAAGATCAGCCTCATGATTCCATAGAGGACAGATGAGAGGTGTCTCTTACATTATAAGGTCAGACAGGACCACTGTGACCATTTAGTCCAGTGATACCCACACTGCAAGCTGCAAGCAGGTGTTCAATGTGACTCCTGCAGTTCTTTGCAGCATGTGATATTAAAATCCTGGTCATTTAATTATGAACCTGTGTTATTAATCAATGGTAGGTGATAAAATAGTATTTTGTGGTCAGTCATTTTGCTGTAAGTGTTGAACAGAAACAATGAATTCACGATTTGTGGCTTTGTTGTGTAATGGTGATCTCTAATTTGGCTTCTGAACCACTGAGATGTGAGTGTCACTGGTCTAGTGTGATCACCTACATGCGAGCCCTAGGACTTCCTTGGATTATTTTTTGTTTGAACTTTGCAACAGAAATCCTGAGCTGGCCTTTTGCCATGAACCTGTTTGTATGCAATAGTT